TATACACACGACGGATTGCTATTCGGACATGGATCCGACGGATAAATGGTAAGGCACAATGACTCCTCTCCGCGCCATTGATTGCTTCACGACTTCACGACCGTATATCACATTTACGGACGAATTATACGGTTCGAAGAAAACAATTTATGATTTTGTAAAAACAAAGTATATACAGACACGTGTGCGCCGTGCAGTTTATCAAGTTCCATTGTACATTATGATTATATATATGTACGTATCATGTATATTGTATACAGTTACTATGGATGTATGTGATTTCATTATGACTATATAACGTATCGAAGTCGTTGTAAATAGAATAATCGGACTGTAGGAACGGGACCGTTTTTTTGACAACAATCCAGAGATGTATTTAAAGTTTTGACGCCCCAGGTACAGTTTTATAACCACATCTACACATGTTTTATATGATTTTCAAGAAAGGTAATATTTATTATCTATGAATTTTAAGCGATCAAATGTTGATAATATTATCATGAAAATAAAAATCCGTCATGTTGGTCACTTTGCAAAATCTTAAAATGTTAAAATTTTTCGATTGACGAATGAAAATAGATGATTAATTTTGGTTACAAAAGTATACTGTCACCTTTTAATTCCAAAAAAATACGCCGCCCGGAGCGATAGTACCCATTCGCCTCCCCCCCCCCCCCAAATACGTCCATACAACAACCCATGTAAATTATTCAACAGCATTGGATAATCTCAACGGGAATATCCACAGTAAGAATAAAATACTTAACTGAACTATAGTGCAGTACATTATATTTAGTTAAGACACAGTGTATGAGCTCATATATTCCGTATATGTAATACGTACACACATATGCCGACATATTTTTTTGCGTATCATTGTCATGTATTGCGAAAAATCTCGGAAATCCCAGTAAATTGCGATGTAAACGCTGAGTAAGGATGTACTATCACAAAGAACTTTCCCTCTCGAAGATTATTCGTTAATGAAAAGTAAAAAAAATCAAATTTTTGTCCATACAGATCGTTGGGTGACCTTGTGGTTTGTACCGTTACAAGTGTATAGATTTAGCTGAAAAAACAAAACTCAAGTTCCCTATACTTTGAATCTAAAATGTATACAGGTACAGACGTTTTTATTTTACCGCGCCACCGATGATAATATGAATTAGTCATTACATGGACTGAACTGCTGACCGCAAATTATTGCGTGAATAACTATTATATTAACACAACGAGTTCGAAATATTTGCTACTGAGTATAAGAAAAAAAATAAAAATAAAACATTTTTTTTTTTCCATTGCCAAAAATTATATGAAACACTACATGTTTATGGAATAAATTACAATGACTGTATCGATGCATGTGTAAGAATACATCAATATACCAAATACATTATATTTGGTCTATAATACAATATTATATACTTAAGTTATATAAAAATGGCTCTGCTAAAATTAATGATATTATATTAGCAATAATGAAAATAATTTAGACCTTTCAAAACATAAAATGAAATCCTATACACTTTTTATTTCTTATGGCTCATATTTTACTAAAATAAATTAACATGTACGATGATCGACAGTAAATCACAAAATAAAGAATACTTACATTTAAAATGAATAGATGTTGTTTATAATTATGTTGTACACAATATATTCGAGAGCCAATTTCAGCTAATTATTAAAATAACAGTAAGAATATTCGCAAGAGTGAAATTGTGAAAATTTCTATAAAATATATATACATTTTAATGCATTTGTTGACGACATTTTTGACGCGTTGCACAACTGAATAGTTTACAAATAATTAACCAGGTAGAACGGCAGTACGTACATTTAACCACTTTTTACGGTTTATTTAATTCTATACAGTTGAACAATATGAAAATTCATCCACGTGATGGAAAGAAAAAACTAACAATATTGTTACCCAGCTTTCATTTCTTTCTTTACCACAGTTACCATATACAACAATATTACAATCATAACTCTTGATATTATCCTCGTAGACATACATTTCACGAGCTAACAAATAGTCATATTGATATTGTACGAATTTAAATTAGTATTTTTATAATACTTATAACAGCTATAGTACCTATAATATCGATGTTTTGTTTTTTAAGAGCTTGATAAACGCACATCATATTGGATGTAGAATAAATTAAACCCATAAGACTAAAGAACAGAATGCATCGGTAGCCTAGTCACGATTCTATCACCGTTTCTAACACATGATTTATGTTTGTAACGTATGATTATGAAGTATGAGCCAGAGGATTACAAATGTTATTGAATTTCACCAGAACCCCATCAACCCTCTACACATTATATACGTTTTTCTTTATAAGTATTTGTTTTAAACCACACCAAGAAAAAGGAAAAAAATAATCAAATAACCAAGCGGAGACTTTAACGACTACGCATCTACGCCACTACTTACATATATATATATATATATGGGAACAATATGATACCCAAGGATCCGGTATTCGTCAAGGTACCAATTACTATCAAAATAGTATAAAATATTATTTTATTGATAACTCGGTATAAATAATGTCGCCTTATTTAAAATTTTATATAAAATACATTACAAAACGAATTGCAATAAAAATAAAAATTCGTTAAAAAAATTAGTATATATTATAAAATACTATAAGTATAACGAGCAAAATTAATTTTATACAATCTTAAATTGCATTTTATTGTCTTTTTCTTATTTACTTTTTATTGTTGTTTTTTTAACAATACATCTAAGATCATTTTAAATCCCATGTTATCCTATGTTTAAAGTATCTATGATCTTATAATAAGCATTTGATATCGTTTTACAGAGCACACAACAGTGGGCACGTTAACTTGGTCACAGACGGTGTAATATTTCGTGTTGACTTTTTTTTTATCGATAATAAACACACGCACACGAACTCCAAACATGAGGTCCATTGGGTCAAACCACATTTTCCGGTGTTCAATAGGGTGTCTATAGGGTCCTTAGATTTCAGTGTCAAATTTAAAACTTCTCACAAAATACATAACACAAAAGCGTGAGAATATTTTGATAAATAGCAAATATTATGATATCTAAATTTTATCTAAATTTTAAACCAGTAGCAGTTATTTAGTTGATACAACTAACTTAACATTAAACAAAAAAAATGTATGTCTGTAAATAGACAACACTAACTAATGTTATGTTACCTAGGAACCACTACATATATAATTATATTGTATCAAATATCTTTATAGCTATAAAATTAAATTTTTATGAGGAATACAATTTGGAAATCGACAATAACTTAACATTATATTAATAATAAAATAACAAATAGTAATATAGTAATATTTACGGTAAATAAAATTAACTGTTTAAAATGTGAGCAAGCATAAGAATAGCTAAATTACTTTATAGATACTTATTAAAAAAAAAAATACATTTACATATAATAAAAATATCAGTAAATTCAAAAATAAGCTGTTTCTCGACCAAACAAATTAATTATTAAATTTACATATAACTTTATTTTGTAATAAATTTCAGATTACTTATACAGTAAATGTACAAATATCATTAATTTATTTTATAAATTGTGCAAGACATCTACTAAACCAAAGCCTTATTTTTCAAAGTGAAAAATGTCTATACACAACCCTTCATTATATATTTGTATATTTCAGTATAGTTAAAATTGACAAGAAAATCTAATAAAAAGACGTAATTATAGAAATAAAAACAAAAAAAAGTTTTTTTTTATGTACTAATAAATATTTATTAATAATTAGTAAAATAAATTAAATCAGTTAACTTTAGAACTTCAAGTAATGATGCTTAATTTTACAATATACAATTTTGAAATTTTACATTCAAATTTTTAGTTTTATTTTCTCAACAAATATAATTTTTCAATTAGTATACTTCTTACTTTTTTTTCTCAAAGTTCTCGATATTTATAAAAATTTTTATGAAAATGAACGTTGAAAGGAATAGAGGAAGAAGAAAATAAAAAATGAGATGGTTGGATATGATTAAGAATAATATGAGGGCCGTTGGTATGTGCGTAGGGGATATATAAAATCGAGATAAGTGGAGGTTTAGAATAAAAAAGAAGAAGAAGAAGAAGAAGAAGAAGAAGATTGTCAATATTTAAAGAAATATAATTTTTAAATTTAAACAATAATAATTTACATTCTATGCTAGCTCATCATGGTATCAGATACGAAACATAGAAAATAAAAGCATACTTAAACTTAATACACTTTAATTTAACTATCAATAGTAGTTGTATCCACTAAATATGAAAATATTTGACATCGTGATACGACATACTTAATTTATCTTATATTCAAAATTGAATATAAATTAAGACTATGGGAATAATTATTTTTTTATTTGAGCTTTAAACTTTAAACTTTAAACAATTTAAATGGGAATAGTTCGAATGAAAAATAAATTGTGAACATTATATGTCAAATATGTTGGGCTATTGCCTATTCCTAAATCTTTTTGGATAATTTATTCATAAATTGATAACATTTAATAACTAGAACTTATTCCGGTACCTTACCTTTTTTTTTAGACTATTGATTAACTAAATTATTAAAGGAACATAATAAAAATATTTTGTTCAAAGTACAATAAATAAATTAATAAATCTAAATCTCAACAATTTACACATTAATATGTGGTCTATGGACAGACATAAATATGTTTTTCTTTTCTGCGGACAAACAGTTTCATTCATTCAAACGTTTGGTTCATTCATCAATATACTGTATGGATGTTCTACGCATTTTAGGTAAACCAGAACCATGGTTAATCATGTTTGAAAAAAGCTACCGGCAGCTCCTTAAATTCTGCGGTATACCTCAGAGCTGCGGTCAGCCCTGCAGTGCGGTTTGTCATCGGGTTCACTATGTATTACACTCACGCAGTGTATTTTTGATTCATTTTTTTACCCAAAATAAAGTTAGTACTAATACATAATATATCTAACCTTGATTGTTGGTTGATCTGTATGAATTTTCTTGCAGAATTGATGATTCTTCTGTCTTCACTCGTCGAAATGTATCCAACTCTCGCAAATGATTTGAAAACGATGAATTCTCCATAAAAGGCCTCTGACCGAGACCTAAGGCGCGGAATTGATTAGGTTGTCCTTGGTGTACAGAAAAAAACAAAAAGCACACATTTTCGATATTAATATGAACATTTGAATAATATTAATTCAATTAGTATTTATATGCTCAAAAAAAATTATTAATTAATACATATTTTTAAGTTTTTAATTTTAGTAGAATTAATAGCAATGCCATGGAACTGATTGGTTATATTATGTATAAGTACGAAATAAAAATTATAAATTACGTAATTTACAATTAAAACCGTTCAATAAATATTATTTCTTAGTTCAAATTAAAAATAATATGTAATGTTCTTAAATTGATAAATATTAAATCAGAGTTATATTGAAGTATTTTAATCATATATTATACAACAATAAAATTATAACAGACGTATAAAGTTCAACAAGGTCTGTGATTAAATTCAATAACATTTTTTAAGATAAATATATACAGATAAAACTAGATACAGTAAAAGTTTGAAAATAGCATTTTCATTCCCCATCGACGATTCCCACGGATGTTAGCGGCTGAGATAAAAAACAATATAGAACTGTATAAATATACAACATATTTCTCTGAAATTGTGAACATATTTTTATCGCCAGCTGATAAAAATATGTGAGTTCTCATAGACCAAAATAAAATAAAAGGACTCGCTGTATAATATGCAAATATTATTCAATCAATTAATATTGTTTTTTTACAGTTGATTTAATTTTTAAAGATACACCTTAACTCCCTAATCGCATGGTAATGTAAGTAATGTAACGATAATTGGTTTGCGTGTTTTGAAAAAAAAAAAAAAAACCAAATTCTTATAACAATAATAGGATATTTTTACAGTTTCAAAAACTACCTGGAGGTTTGCCACATGGTTTTCCGGAACCTATTCATACTAAAGTCACGCTTTTTGGTGTTATTGTTGTATTCATATTAATAAAATACATATTATATAAATTCAATTTAGCGGAATTAAACTGAATATAATTAAGGGAAGTCAAGTTACCTATACAACAATTTAAACAGATGATAGTCTTTTAAATATTATTTTATTACAGGCGAACATATGTTATTTTTTCAAAATATTTGTCCTTCTGTTTATACATATTAACTAAAAACAATATTGAAAAAATAAAACTTAAAAATTATTAAATAAATTTTAATCCTGAATATGCAGTAAAATATAAATATGCTTGGTTATTAGAGTAAACCTATAACATTTTTATTTTAAATACTTACGAGATTTGGAACGAGGTTCCCGTGGTCCATCAACAGTAACTTTTATCGCCTTATTGTACGTCGCTACTTGAGGTGGACACGTTGCAACCGTAATGGTGATTGTGAAACTTTTCCCTAAAAATATGCAATATTTATATTATATATTATATTAATTTAAATTAATAATCTAATAACTAGATAATAAGTTTAATGTAAATATATAATAATTGAACATCGATTTACCAGAATCAATATAAATACAGCTAACTATTTAAGTTATTGTAGATTTAATTGTTTGCATTTTTTTATTTTATTATTATTATTAAAATACATCTACAATCTGTTATTTATAAAAAATAAGTTAATTTGATATATATATATGTGTGTGTGTGTGTGTCTGTTTATGTATCTATGTGTGGTGAGCTTAATAGTAGAAAAATAATATAAATAGTTTGAGGAGGAAACTACTCACTAACGGCACCTCGTAATATAAACATTGAAACATAAAAATGTATGATGAACTATTATTTTTTCTTTTTATAAAACGAATAAGTAGTTTTAGCAGTTATTGTTAACAATCTTTTACATTTATTTTACTATTTTAAAACCGCTAAATTATTCTAGGGCTGATTAATAAATGGTTAGTCAATTTTTTATAAACCATGTAGTATAAATGTAGACATAACCTATGGATCATACAGTGATTTGAAAAATAGGGGAAAAATGAAGTTATTTAAATATTTCTTATTAACACCGCCATATTAAATGTATAATATGACCTGGAAATATATGACTCATTCTACTCATATGACACATAATTATATTTGCAATAGTAAAAGTGAATAAGCCTAAAGTATATAACCGGCACCCAGAATGCTAATCATTTCCAATTCCAGTCCCCGTTGCTTATTGTTATTTATAGTGTTCGGGGATTTCGAAACATTACAAATCCAAGTACTGAATTTTTCATGGAACATTAGTACATTAGTTTTTGTTATTTTATATTAATATTTTATTATAATACACTGACCCTAAAAAATAGAATACTCATTTAAAGTCGTATTTCATCAAAAATAGTATTATTTTTCAGAAATATATAAAAATAACAACAATATCAAAATTTTCGGTTTCAATTTTAAATTAACGATGATATATTTGTACCGAATAAACTCCTGTTATAAAAATAACCATCAAAAACTTCTAATTGTAGTTATAATATTACTTGATAAATATTAACTATTTATGAAACTAAATGTACATATATAGGACTTTTATAAATCGTTATCACATAAAATCAAATTTTTCAATTTTATTTATTTATTTATTTATTTTTTATTTTTTATTATTATAATCTAGATACTATATAAAACAATAGATTTTTTAAAAAAAGCAATCAATTGATAGGATATTTTTCAAGAGAATTTTTGGAGTTTTAGAGAATTTTTCAATAAGTTTTAAGTTTTTTTTTATCCGAGCCTTATGTTAATCTATATAAAAGTGAAATATTTCATCCTAAAATTATACATTAAATTATTAAGTAAATATAAGAATACAATTTAGAAAGCGAATAGTTTTTAAACAGTATTCTATGATGTCTTACGTTAAATCTTATATTGTCACACATAGGTATTACGCATATACATCCGGTGTACAATAATTGTATCATAAAATAGAAATACAATTATTATACTTCAAATGTACCCAGTGGCGTAATTTTGGGGGGGTATATGGGGATATATCCCCCCCCAGACACTTTTTTTTTTTAAAATAATTATAATTAAATTTCCGTAAGCACTAAGCTTTAAAAGATTTTAAGATAAGAAATAAGAATACATGGATATTATCATAGTCGAGATTTTTTTTATTTTACTAATATAAAACTACGATAGTTCAACAATTATAATATATGACAAGAAAATTGTATAGCTCAGAGTTAAAATATAACACTGATAAATCTACAATTTACCACTCTTGATTAGTGCTTAAAGCATGCAATATTTCACAAAAACGTGAAACATTGAAATTTTTTCTAAAACAAATATTAATGTTAGTTATTTATCAATTATTTATTATATAATCTAAAAATTCTTATTATAATCATTAATATTAATAAAATGAGTACAGTGATTGACATATTACTATAATAACTATATTATACTATATATATTGGGTCTTGTTTTCGACTATTTATAGCATTATAGCAAAACTTGGTTTATTTTCCTAGGAAATTGCTTTCGGCGACGTCGACAAACAATGTATCATTATATTATTCTATTCAGTGGTATAAGGTATTAACCAGTGATGCCATGTTGGCCTTTTTAAGGCTAAATCTGGCCTTTTTCATTTCAATCTGACTGAAAAAATATACAATCTTGCTCCTAGCATTTTTTTCTAGCCATTAATTGTTTTTAACTAGCTTAATTCTGATTTAAGTTATATATAATATATTTTAATTGATTGTTTGTGTATATAAGTATAATATTACACGACATTGATATCATGAGTTTTTCCCTTCGTTTTCGTTATCACTCCATATAATAAACCATATTTATGGTTGTTATCAAAACAAATTATATTTATCTGTGGTGGTTATTAACTACGAATCGGATTTATATTCATATCTAGTTAATATTTATCACTTTACACCTCGGACTAGTATATCTTAGTTCGTTTCACGATTGTAGATTCGTGATTCAAAAGACTTTAATTTACTATCCTAACATTTTTTTTAAGTATTACCTATTAATTTTGTTTTGTTATTTTTAATACTTATTATTTTATTTCCTTGTTTATTGTTTTAATGTTGGACTTCTTAGAACATTAAAATTTAATAAACTATGAATTATGATTATTTAATATTATTATTTATTATATTTAATGTCCTAATAATATTATTTACTTGCAAAATATAATAAAAAGATTAATAGCTTTACTAAAGAAAGAAATGGAAATTGCCAACAATTTTAATAGTATTAATATTTTTATTTTTGCGTTAATATGTTTGTTATTAATCGTTTTTTTTCAGCTGATTTCCGGCCTTTTGTGATAGTACTCATAGCTTTTTAAAAAAATTATAACTGGCAACACTGGTATTAACTATTTTGAAATATTATAAAACTGAAAACGATCAGCAATAGTACAACACCAATGTCTATTATTATTTATATTATATATAATAAAACGAGTAATAAAATAATATTATTTTTTCTTTAACTGTGGATGTGTGTCTATTGTGCGATAATGTAAATTTAATATATTACTAAATTACATATTCAATTATTAAATTAAAAATGAAAAGGCAGTCGAATGCTTTTATTTCTTTTTTTCAAAAAAATTTAAATAAACTAATCAAGAAAACAGCTTGTCAAAATGTAATTCAGATCAAGACCAACCTAACAAAAAACTTGTCGTAATAAAGTTGAACTATTTTTTGAAATAATCTAAATCTTCATAAATTTATATATTTCCTATTTATATGTAATTATTATGGCATATCCATATCTACAAATTTAAAAATCAATAACACAAGAATATTTTCTTAGGAAAAACAAAGAATCAGATCAATGATTTCTGCAGAACAACCTGTAAGTACAAAGTTAGAAAAAGTTAATAATTAAAAATTAACATTTTTTACAATCATTATTATACCATTTAATTTATAATAATAAATTAATATAATATTGAGATATATGAGATTTAATGTTTAAAGGGGGTGTAGGGGGCATAGCCCTACTAAAATGATAGTATAAATTTATATCCCAATCCCTCCCCAAAACCAATTCCAAATTACGCCACTGGATGTACCTATATATGTAATATATATGGCGATATATGTAAGATTAAAAAATAATAATTTCATTAATATCATTTTTAAAGGGATTGCAAGCCTTTCTCTATCTTTATCTTGTTCACGTTCTAATGGTTAAATTTAAATTAAAGTTATATTTGAATATATTATTCTTTGTATACCAAAGAAAAAAAATGAAATCAAAGATGTAGATTGTTCTTTAAAACAGGTTAAATTAGGTTAGGTAAGCACGATTATTTTACTCATGACACGTCATCTGCAGTATTATCTACTTATTTTTTATATAATATTAATTATTATTATTAATTAGTAACAGAATTGTTAAGAATAATAAATGATACATTGTATTTATGTGAATAATTTCTTCTATGTACCTCACATACTCGTAAATCCTTATATGTTATCAAATTTAAAAACATAAAATATGTGCATATATATACACTTATATGGTATATTTTATACAGTTGATATGTTATTTTATATATAACAAATTTAAGCTGAATCAAATTTTTTTGACATATGTACATTTATCGAGGAAAGTAATTTATATTTTTTCTCAATTTAATTTAATATGCATGTATTTTATGCAGAGACGCTAATAACAATTCAACACCGCTTATAGCCTATAGGTTATATAAGTTATAACTATTTACACGTAGTATAGAATGCGACGAACCTAAGTGCGACCACAGAATCCTGTCAAATGTGCAATAGATCAATGGGGAATTTTTTTTTTTCTTACCCATCTGTTCTGTCGTCAAAGTAATTACACGTCCGGCAAAGAAAGACAAATGCCATCAAAAAGTGGCATAAATTATATTATAGTGTCGAAATTGACCGGGTAATTGTATAAATGATAGTAAAAAAGATTTAGGACGACAGTTATTGCAAATTGATTTTTTTTTTTTGTTTTTTACATCTTGTGATAGGAAATAAAAATATCGTCGTTTCCAAAGATAAAAAAAACACATTTTCACCCTACCATTGGAGCGTAAGCAGTCGCGTGTATGTCGGCGAAAAAATACAAGAACAAAGACTCTTTGTTCGATCCTTTTAAAGGATGTTAAATATCATTGTTAGAAGTTGGCTACAGTTTAATTACCTATATAATATACGAGACACCCGAAATGATATCTTGAAAACCGCACCAGTACTTGAGTAGGTACGTTATAAAAAAAATAAAATATGTATATAAAAACGAGGGCACACATCACCTCTGCTCAAATAAATGTATGCATATATCTATATACAATGTGCACGTATACGCATTTGTCGGTTCTGTAGAAATTTTTAAAATGTTCATGAGTAGTATTTTAATATAACGGTT